TTATTTTTTTAAGGCGCTCTACTTCGTAGAAGTTCACTTGATCCTGAAACTCGTCGTTTATCTCTTGGTACTATATCTAGTTCCAGAAAAAGTTCAGACGGCTTACTAGATCCTACACACGCGGCCATATTGTTTAGAGATTCTAGAGGGGTAAGTAATGTTAATCTATTTGCATGTTTTGTTAACAATTCTCACTTATGTTTAAAATACTTATTAAATTTTCAGCTCCCAGTAGCCGACCCGTTTCTCGAAAAAGTCAAAATCACTGATCTGGGTAATTTCAAACTGACATTTTTAATTTAAAAAATGTTAAACAAAAGTTTCCATTTTAATAATTAGATAATTATTATAATATTATATTTTAGCCGAAGATGAAAGTCAGATATTTGTGAAATTTTTCCGTTTTCACAAGTCTTATGATCTCATACCGACTAGTGCAAAATTAGTCGTATTTGACACACAGTTGATTGTTAAAAAAGCGTTCTTCGCTCTTGTTTACAATGGCGTGCGAGCAGCTCCACTATGGGACAACAAACGTCAAAAATTTGTGGGCATGCTAACCATTACTGATTTTATTAGAATATTACAAAAATATTACTCCTCGCCTTCTTCAAGCATGGAAGAACTAGAAGAACATAAATTGGACACTTGGAGAAGTAAGAGTTAATATTTACGAGTAAGAATGAATAATACTAATCGTAAATTTTACGTTTTTAAAGGTGACCCATTAAATAAAATAAAATAATTCAGTCTCGCAAAAAAAAAAAATTATCTTACAGAAATCAATACAAATAATATTATTTATTATTAAGTATGATATTTAAAGATACTTAAAGCAAAGTTAAGTAGATACTTAAAGTATCTATCTAGAAAAATCGAATATTACACTTTTTAGTTATCTGCTAGTTCATTTAAAATCCAATAGTTAACAAGAATATTGTTAGCAGTATTATTCCTTGATAGGTAAATAATGAATGGGGGTTTTTTTTTAGTGTTAAAATTCTGACTTATCAAATTAGCTATTTATAGTAATGTTTCTATAATTTTGAATACTAGTCAATACTCCTATTGATATAATTCATTTTATAACTAAAACATTGTTATTAAGGATTTTTAATGCTGCATTTTTTATTTTAGATGAACTTCATGAGGAGCGACCTCAAGAATTAATATCCATTGGTCCAG